GATTGCTTCTGCTACAACTGGCAATTTTTTGTTTGCAGACAAAGGAGTATTCAAAAATTGAAAAGTATAGGCTCTCTCTGACATGTAAGAAGCGCTTGATAATTTCTACATGGAATCCCTGCAGCCTCAACATCTGGAGAATTTCTCAGGCATCTCTTGTCCTGCATGGTGCCCCAGACCATGCCTGGGTGTGGGTCTCTTTTATCTTGCCAGGGTTATTGGGAGATCCCTGAAAGCAGGGCCCAGTGCCCTTCCTCCTCTTCTTTCCTCTGAAGGCCTAGTCAAATGAGGACTCGTTATAATTGAATTGATGACCACATACGTGAATACTGCTCTATAAATGGACCCAAGAGAGGAAAAAACAGTTAGAATGAAGGGTCTTATTTCTGCCTGCCTGCCTGCCCTGATGGTCACATGTCAGGTTCCTTGTCATTCATATCTGAGCTGCAGTGTTACCTGCTCAGCTCGTCCCTGAGTCCACAATTTAAAGTAGCCACCCAAACACTCTCCAGCACATTACCCTGTTGTAATTCTCTGCAGAGCACTTATTGCCATGTGGAGCTTTCCTTAATTATGTATATTCCTTTTGTGTGTCTCCCCCATAAATACAGATTATTTATACTGTATCATCTTCTTTATACAAGGATAAAGGTTCCATGAGAGCAGGGACATTATCTGGTTTCCTCACTGCAGTACCTTCAGCACAATAGTTGATCAATATTTTTTGAGTGAATGAGTGAATTAATCACAAGCAGAAATGCAAACAACCTGCCCTTGGATCCCAGACTCTTATTAAACATTTAGGAAGAAAAGAGAAGGTCCTAGTGAGTGAAGAGAACATCTAGATTCCAGAGGAATCTGTGGGATTTTAATTGGGAACAGAAGTGACAGGTTAACTAACTTCTTAAAATTGCTTTTATTAAAACGGAAATGAATCAAAACAATATATATATTAGTGTTGGAGTAACAATAAAATGAAGATACTATGTACCCGGCTTAAGAAATATACTCAGATCATCTTCAGTAATGGAAGTTTATTGCAAAGGTTCATGGGCACATGAGATCCCACTGAACATCATTTCCTCCCTAGCCATATTGTTACTTGAAGTCCCCAGAGGTTACACTGGGGTGTCAAGAAGCCTCAGGAGGAATTGGAAAAATAACATTTTGTGAAAGAAATCTGATCTAAAGTTATCTGCTGTTTTAGCTGCCATATCCTCTCCCAGGAAAGTGTGATAACGACAGAAGTCACCACAGTTGCAAATCCTGAGAAGCATGCTTGGACCCCCAAGAGAACAGGCTCAGACACTGTGTAGGCTGTTGGGAGATCAGCTTGACCCTGAGAGTTGGGAAAGGGCTGACAGGCTGAGTGAAGGTTTAGTTCTTGAAGCAGGAGGTCCTCAGAAGAGAGAGTGGCTAATAAAGTCTGGTCAGGTTTGGTCTTTGCCTTTTTAAATCATCTTTACAACTATATTGAGTTCTAGATCCTTCAAGAGGAATGGCAGATGCTTATGCTTCAGGCTGTCTCTGAAGCAGACAGGTAGAGATGGGCTGGGGTACATACGATGACAGCTAGCTGGCCTGCGCCAGCTTCTCCAGTGTCTCCCCAGATACGGGACCTTTGGAGTGTAGGGTAAACTGTGGCTAAAGTAGCCTCAGCTGTTCTCAGTGGCTTCTGATTTGCCCTCATTCAGTCCCCTGCATGTGGAAATATCCTTCCAAGAAACAAAGGGAGGGGAACACTGCAGGTCACAGACCCCTTCCCTCTGGAGGAGAGCTGGGCTTTGTCCTCAAGGCTGCTCCCCTGCCATGCAGGAGGCTGGATTTAACTGCTGTAGGCCACACTGGCTGGTGCAGAGCCCGTACTCCCCAGCACTGGAGCCTCTGCTGCTCTGTCACAGACCCTTGCCCACCTCTAATATGGGCTGCAGCCAATAGCAGACAGTTCTGACAAGGCAAGACTCACTTGGTGCTGGCAGAAGCCCACCACAGGGGCTGCCCTGCAGCTTTCTACTTCCTCCTGCCTGCTCCGATGTCTAGGGGCCCACAAAGGCTCCTTGTTAGTGTAGGGGAGCTAACTCTGCCGCAGACCATCCCAACTAGTGCTCTCATGTGGACACTTCTGGATCATTCTGCATGTTTCTCAGATGTCCCTGCAGAACTGAGCCCCTATTGCCTATAGCAGTGACCTCAGTAACACACCCTTTTAGTGGCTTTTCCTCATCCCTGTCTCACTCTCCTCCCTGCCTTACTCCTGCTTCTTGAGACCATGTCCTAAATAAATCTCCTGCACCCAGGGCCTTGTCTCAGTCTCTGCTTTTGGGGAGGCCCAAATCGGAACATCAGCCAGCGTGCACATTCCGGCCAGTGCCAGGCCCTGTGTAAACAAGTCAAGCTGCCTAGTAAAGAGAAGCAGCTGCCAGCCCACTCCAGCCGATGGTTGCCATGTGGATCTGTAAGCCTAGCATTGCCAGAAATCCAGGCTTTAATGAGAAATCTTTTTTTCCTATTTTATTTTTATTGAGGTTATGACAGTTTACAACCTTGTGAAATTTCAGTTGTACATTATTTGTCAGTCATATTATAGATGCACCACTTCACCCTTTGTGCCCACCCCTTCCTCCCCCTTTTTCCCTGGTAACCACTAATCTGTTCTCTTTGTCCATGTGTTTATCTTCCATATATGAGTGGAGTCATACAGAGATTGTCTTTCTCTATCTGGCTTATTTTGCTTAAAATAATACCTGAAGGTCCATCCATGTTGTTGTCATGGGACGATTTTATCCTTTTTGTGGCTGAGTAGTATTCCATTGTATATATATATATACACACCATATCTTCTTTATCCAATCATCAGTCAATGGGCACTTAGGTTGCTTCCACATCTGGGCTATTGTGAATAATGCTGCAATGAACATAGGGATGCATGGGTCTCTGAATTGCTGATTTCAAGTTCTTTGGATAGATACCCAGTAGTGGGATGGCTGGGTCATATGGTATTCCTATTGTTAATTTTTTGAGAAATCTCCATACTGTTTTCCATAGTGGCTGCACCAGTTTGCATTCCCACCAGCAGTGTTTGAGGGTCCCTTTTTCTCCACAACCTCTCCAACATTTGTTATTTTTTGTTTTGGTTATTTTAGCCATTCTAACGGGTGTAAGGTGATATCTTACTGTAGTTTTGACTTGCATTTCTAATGGGAAATCTTTTTATCTTTAAATGTTAGCAACTAATTCAAAACTAAAAACATTCCATAGCATCCACCCTATTTGCTGACTGGAATAGCTCCATGAGCAGCCCACATGGCACATGGTATGGGCACCAACCCCATGAACAGTGGAGGAGAGAGGGACCAATAATGGGCTAGAATCCTAAGGATGGCAGAATGGGTGAGGGAGCAAAAAACTAGCTCCTTCCCAGAATTGGGAAGGCCTAGAAAGGGCCAGAAACTTCAGATAACACATCAGAGCTAACACACTTGACTATTTACCCAGCTCTCAACCGCATTATCTCAATCTGACAACCTCAGGAGGCAAATACCGCTTCCATTTTCCCCATTTTAGAAGTGAGAAAACAGAGCTTTCGGAGGTTGTGATAGATCTAGGATTCAAAATAAGGTCTTTCTTCACCATCTACACATTACAGCCTCCCTGGATCACAACCCTTGACTCCAACAGAAGCAGCCAAGAACGTGAGGGTCTAATTTTGGGTTCACTTACAGGAATCTCTTTGCCTCAGTTTACAGATAAGTCTCTCAGAGGGAAAGTTCTTTATAGAACAAAGCTAATAAAGGCAGAAAGAATGATAAAATAGAAAATCACCAGTATGCGATTCCTAATGAAATCATAGATCAAAGCTGGGTAGATCATAATTTAAGTGAAAGGTTATTGGGAACTTGAGAAGTCAAACGGGTCACTTCCTGATGCGATGCAAAGCAAGTACTTATCACTGTCTATGATGTATTCACACCAAAAATAATAGAACCTGAGTATGAATGAGCCTCTCGATCTACCAGTTTACAGGAAAAATGGGCAAGAGTGGGACATATTTAATGACACCACAGGGATACAACTAGGCAAATGCAGAACGTGAGAAATTTTAGGGCAAATGATCTAAGTTTTTCAACAAATGGCAAAGAAAAAAAGAGGGGGAACTGTTATTTATTTATTTTTTTTGAGGAAGATTAGCCCTGAGGTAACATCTGCTGCCAATCCTCCTGTTTTTGCTGAGGAAGACTGACCCTGAGCTAACATCCGTGTCCATCTTCCTGCCAAAGCATGGCTTGATCAGCAGTACACAGGTCCAGGCCTGGAGTCTGAACCGGCAAACTCCGGGCCGCCAAAGCAGAGTGCATGAACTTAACTGCTGCACCACCAAGCCGGCCTGTTAAGTATTTTTGGAGAGACTTAAGGGACATCAACAAAATGCAGCGTGTGAATCTTGTTTTGAACCTGATTCAGACAAATCAACAAACACATTCTGTGATAAGTGAAGGAAACTGAACATTGACAGGGTTTAGGATATGCTACCCCAAAATATGGCAAATTGAATATTTTAAGCTGAAGGAATCTGAGAAATGGCCGATGCTGGAAGGACTCTCCCATGAAGCTGGTCATAGGACCCTCATATTAGAGCTGCCATTCCTATACCAAAGGAAAGGAGCATGCTCATCTCTGAAGACCGAGGGACACTGGGAATTGGAAGGAAAAGTTTCCCCCAGTTTACTACACCTAGCTTATAGCCTTTTGTCCTATCACATTTTCCCACAACTTTCCACTCTTCATCAAGCCTAGTATAAAAACACTCAGGTTTAACTGTTTCTTTGAAAGCCTCCATGTCATAAAACTTATATTAAATAAATTTGCACGCTTTTCTTTTGTTAATGTCTTGTTATAGAGCCCCAGCTGAGAACGTTAAAAGGATTGAAGGAAAAGATATTTTTCTTCCCCATAACATCAGCTATTATTAGATGATATTAGATAATAATTAAGAATTACTATTAATTTTGTTAGCAATGATAATGGTATTGTTACATATATTTTTAAGTCCTTACAGTTTTTCTGGAAAACCAAATGGAATAATTACTACATGAAAATTTCTATACCTCACTATCATTCTCTTGTGCAAAGGCAAGCTTTATTTCAAAGCAACCTGAAAAGAGCAGTCAGGGAGTCCATGGCTATAAACTGGTAGGAGGGAGCAGCATATCCATTTGGCAGGGTCTCAGTCGGGAGTCTTGCCAATTCCTGCCAATTGCCCAACATCTGCTCAGTTTCCTCTTCAGGTTGAAAGTAAAAAGGTAGACTTGAAGAGCTCATGATGTCTTTGTTATCCAGACATGCCTGTTTCAGGAAAGAGGACACCTGGAGTCAACTTAATTATGGGAATCTGCTTAATTATTAAAATAAATATTTACATTGAGAATAAAGTTAATTTAGTAGCTTTCTTCACATTTTCACATTTTAAAAAGGGCCATAGAGGTTTCATTCATGTTTTAAGCAGTTGAGTTGGTAAAGATCCTGTCTCCGTTTCATAGGAAATGGATTACATTCAATTACTTCTCACAACAGTCAACTGGAAGATTATTCCATTGTTTTTGAAGCACTGGTTGGGTTGGCATCTGCGATGGTGGCCAAATAAATGAGGTTTCTATGTAATACATGCTGGTACCTATGGGTGAAAAACAGGCAAAAATTAGAGGCTTAATTTTACTGAACATGAACAAAAAACCGGAAAAGAATTTACCCACTCTAGTGGAATGGCTCATCCACTGATTGAATGACTCACTGTTATCAACCTTCTTGTTTAACACATTCAAGGAAAATTTATCCAGAATCTTACTTGTTCTCACCTATCACTTCCACAGCCACCTCTCTAGGCCAAGCCACTAACACTTCTTGCTTTGACTCTTGTACTGGATCAGTCTCCTAACTGGTGTCCCTGCTCTGCCTTTGCACCCCTACTCTATTCCGGACATAGCAGCCTGAGTGATCACTGTACTAAGTCAAGATCATGCCATAGCTCTGTTTAAAACCCTCCAAAGGCTCCCATTTCATTCTGGGTAAAGCTGAGCCCTTCTCAGGGCCTGCAAGGCCCTCCATGATCAGGGCCTCTAGCTACCTCTCTGATCTCATCTCCTACCACTTTCCCTTTGCTCACTGAGTTCTGGCCACACTGGCCTCCTTACAGTGACTTGAAGATCTCCATCAGGCTTCAGCCTGGGAACTTTCCCCCTGGTGCTCCCTCTGCTTCACATATCTGCATAGCTGGCTCCCTCACTTCAGCTGTTTTCTGAAATGTCACATCAGATACGCTGTATAAAATAGTGCCCCCCCCTTATCCTGCTTTATTCTTATTTGAATCACATATTGGTATCTGCCTGATTATATGATTTCCCCCTCTAGATTCTAGAGTCTAGAATGTAAGCTCCATGAAAGCAGAGCTGTTTTGATACTGATTCCCCAGTAGCTGACACAGTGCCTAGTACTCAGTAGTCCTTATAAAATACCTGTTGAACAAACTTAAAGAGGGGATGAGACATTTCCAGAATTGTTGTAGCGATTCTCAATCACAGGGTACAGCTCCCCACTCAGGAAGACAAATCAGACAGGGGGCAGGAAGCATAGGCCTGTGTGACTGAAAAAGCCCACTAGGAGATTTTGGTAACTTTCTTATCCAGAGGTTGAGAAGCACTAAACCAAATGGAATGTTTTGCAACTATTTTCCATATAGGAAAATGAGAAACTGTTGAATATAAACTGTAATAAGTAAATTATCAAATGCCAGAGTCAAATGTAGAGACTTAGCCAGAGATGGCTATCTCTACTATTCCACTGACCTATTCAATGAAAGATTGTGGGTGATTTTTTTAGGGAGTGTGAAAAGCATGGCTTTCTTAAACATGTCTTCAGTAAAAATGAAATAATAAACATTTCTATAATAAATGTGGCATAACTCTTGGACTTCATTTAGAAAAGAGACAGACCATTTCCTCTCATTTTGGTATATGGCAAGAGGGCACATTAAATTAGTATGCAAGATTCACCTTTGGCTCAACTTGGAAATCTTTTATTGGTCTTTGTGTGTGTTATAGACTGACTCCAAGTTAGAAATGGGAGGGAACTTAGCAGGCAAATGGTCTGACCCCCTCCCTTAACAGAAAAAGGATGAGCCAGGGATCCATGACGAGCAAGCAGCCACTGCTCTCATCTCCTGAGACTAGTTTTCCGTGTGCTCCCCTCCCTATCCCTGTTGTCATAGGCTGACATGGCTTCACGTGAAGAAAGCTTTGCAATAAACATAATTCAAGTTTTGAGGAGGGAGCTGCGTCTGACTCCAGGCTTCACAATGTCCTGTCCGTATGGTCTTGGGCAGCTAAGTAACCTCTCTGAGCCCCATCGGCGATAATCACCCAAGACTCCAAGTTCAGAACAGCTGCTTTATCACCTCACTGGCTTCTTCACTCAAAAGTCGGGGGAGGAGGGGGGGACTTACTGGACACACTCATTCGCCCGGCCCTTATTCTGATACTCCACGATACAGCGGATCAGCTGGTCATTCTCCTCCAGGAGCTGAAAGATCATAGAAAGGGTCAGTGCAGGGCGACATGGGGACAGCGGGGTGCACTGACCCTCCCCCCACTGCTGGACTGTCCAGCCCTCCGGCTTTGTTGATTTCGTCCCCATCTCACTCCAAACCCCTGCAAGTCAACAGCTTAAGCACACCCCAAGACTCAGCGCGGATGCCGCTCACTCCAAGCAGCTCCCCGCACCCGTAGCCCTTGGGGATCTCAATTTAAGGAACCCTTTGTCTCTGTCTGCGTTAGCGCTCACCCGCTGGATGGTCTCCTGATTGACTTCCGCCTTGCCTCTCAGCCAGTCCGGTACAAAGGCCACCGACATCCCTTCAAGCCAGATTGGAACCCTGCCTCGGACCCCGCATCCAGACCGGAGCCAACCCGCAGCTCCCGAAGCAATGGGGCCGCAGCAGGACCCCACGATAGGTGGGGGCCTACGCTCTCAACGTTGATTGGGTCCTTCCGCCTGGAGGGCGGGGAACAGGAGGAACGTCATTTGCGATTGGGCGCGCAAGAGCGTCCTCCTCGGGCCCCCGCGCCTGCGGCTCAGGAGCTGTTTGCCCATCCTTTGCGTTTGCGCTGTCTGGGAAGTTAACCTGGGGGGCGGGGCCCGACGTCACCGCCTCGCCTCTTAGGCTCTGTGCGCTCTATCTGCAGGAGCACCTTGCCTGGGGTCACGTGGGAATCGTGGCTGGAACCCAGATATCTGTTTCCAAGTACACTCCTCTTTCGACATCACTCTGGTGTCTCCAGGCCTGCGTCTGGAGCTTGACCCTGGACGTTGCCTCCCGCCAAGCCAAATCCTGCAGGGCCAATGAAAACACTGGTGTCAGCTCTACTCTTTGCTGAGGGAGAAACTTGCATATATAACTATTTTTAATTTGGGCAATAATAATACTTATTAGTAGTAATAATAATACTTATTTTTCAACACTAAAAAGTACTATTATTTTCTCCACTTTACAGATGAGAAAACAGAGGTTAAGTAACATGCCCAAGGTCTCATCGCTATTGAGGGCAAAGCCACTATCTGAACACAGGCAGTCTGGCTTTAGAACACTTGCTCTTAACCACTACTCCATACTGCCTGTGCACTAGAGGGAGTTAGCCACCAGGTACAAGGAGGAAGCTGGGCCTACCCTCCTGGGCCACAAAGTTACTGCTGGTTACTAAAACTCTGAAGTAGTTGTCTTCTCTCTGCTCCAGCCCATCCATGTTGGATATGGGCACAGGCTGGTTTTCCCTGCAGCACAAGAGTGAGCAGCAGCCACTTCATTTAGGAGGGAGATCTTGGAAGCCTTAACTCCTCAAAAGGGGTCTGGGGGCAATTCTGCCTCCTAGAGCTTCATTTCCCTGAGCAGTTGCCCTGATCCAGAGCAGGCACATTTGCTTTGCTGGGGTCTCCCTCCACAATCCTCTTATTTAACTCTGTGAGGAGACAGCTTTCATCCCATTTCACAGAGGGGTAAACCCAGTAAGCGAAGTGGGGCAACATGCCTGAGCTGGGCCAGGACTTGGGGCTTCCTGTTCCCCAAACCTGTACTTTAACCCTATACCAGGGTCCCTCCCCAGGAAAAGCCCACAGAGGTTCTGCAGATAACAGAGTGAGCAGAGGAGGCACCATTAGGAGCAGGGTGCAGGGCTTGCTTAGTCCTCCTCAGTCCTATTCCTGTTTAGACAAATGACAATAACATGAGATGGTATTAAGGTGGAGCAGGTGCAGGGGGTCAACCTGGTCCAGCATACAGAGAAAGCCCTCCAGGAGAGAAAAATGTCTCAGTGTGAAGAGGAAGTGGAGGTAAAGCAGGTGGCAGATGCTCGGAGTCTGGACTCTCTCCCAGGGGCAATGGGAGCAATGGATGATTTTAGGCAGAAGTGTGATAAAGTCAGAGATGCATTATAGAGTTTTCCTGGCTGTAATATGGTGAAAGGCATGTAGGGAAGCCAGATGAGAAGTAACAAGATCAGTGGGAGGGCTGCTGCAGGGGTGCAGGCCAGAAATGGTGGGAACAATGAACAAAGAAGTGTGTGCATTTGAAAGACATTAGGAGTAGGCTTGACAGGCCTTAATGACTTCATGGGGGAGAGGGAGAGGGAGAAGAAGCAATGACGGGTGACTTCCAGGGTTCTGGCTTGAGCAACCGAGAGACTGGTGATGCCATTTATGGAGGTAGGGAATAGCAGCAAAGAAGCTGGACTGGAAGTGAGAGTGATAAATTCAGCTGTAGACTTGTGCAGTTTGAGGTGATGTCAAATGGAGATGTTGAAGCTTGTGGCTGGCCATTTGGGTCTGGAACTCAGGGCCAACAGCTGGGCTGGAAGTATAAGCTTTGAGAAGCATCACTTATAGAAAATGACTGGAACCATGCAGTGGGTAAGACTGCTCAAGGAGAGTGTGTTGGTTTCCCTCATGGCAGAGGAAAAGAAGCTACAAAGGAGAACAAGGGGAGAAAGAGACCAGAGATATAAGAGGAAATCCAGGAGAGTGAAGGGCTCATGTAGCTCAAGAAAAAAGAGGGACTGAGACAGCAAGATAAGACAGCAATGACACACGCTGTTGAAAGGTCAAGCAAGATAAAGACTAGATCTTTTTTTTTTTTTTTTAAACATTGGCACCTGAGCTAACATCTATTGCCAATCTTCTGGGGTTTTTTTTCTTTTCTTTCTCCCCAAAGCCCCCTAGTACATAGTTGTATATTCTAGTTGTAGGTCTTCTAGTTGTGCTGTGTGGGATGTTGCCTCAGCATGGTTTGATGAGTGGCACCATGTCTGCGCCCGGGATCCGGGCCAGCACAACCCTAGGCTGCCGAAGGTGAGTGCGCGAACTTAACCACTTGGCCACAGGGCCAGCCTGGAGACTAGATCTTTAATGTCCTTAATGAGGGAAATTTCAGTGACGTGGTGAGGCAGAAGTCAGAATTGCAGGAGACTGAGAAATTCAGGGAAAGATGAAGCAATGGAGTCTTCAAATGTAGGCCAGTTTTTCCAAGAAGTTTGGCTGTAAAGGGGAAGAGCGAAAGAAGTTGGTAGTTGGAGGGAGAGACGTTGGCAGGAGCTGAGGGACATCACTTTAATGGTTGCTCTTTCCTGGTTGAAGGAGGCATGGGAGAGAAAGGGGCAGGGCTGAAGAGTGGAAGATCTGGGGAACATGCAGGAGATTTTGAAGTTAGTGTTGGGGAGAATTGGAGAGAGAGCTGACCTGGCAAACACAGGACTGCTGGGCAGTGTGGAGAACCTCGTTGAGGCTGGCAATGTACATACATAGTACTGATCTGTGTGGTCATGAGATTTTGTCCAGCAGCACTTACAGCCCAGGAGCAGATTCAGAGGAGGCAGAGGTTGGATTTCTCCAGCGTTGGAGTGCTGCCAGGCAGGTGTGACAGAAGGATAACTGCACAATAGAGGTAAGCATATTGGGAAGAATGAGATGGAAGTGATGGACTCTGGACTTTCAGCTGATGGGGAAGGAAATGAAGACCGGGTAGGACAAGTGGACTGGAGGCTTCTGCAGGCCAGAGAACAGTGGGAGGAATTCAGAGAACAGCTGAAGGACAGGTCAGAGCTCAGATATCTGCATTGCCAACTTCAGAGGTGGAGCTCTTCTGTGGTGATGCAGCAGTCTAGGGTGTGACCCTGGAAGCAAAGGGATGAAGAGGCCTAGAAGAGAAAGCCTCTGGAGCTTGGAGCCAAAATTACCAATGACTGGAGAAGAGGGCTAGGACTTCAGCTTCCACATCTCACCAGTTTCCCAATCCACTGTGGTGCCTGAGCCACACCAACTGCACCATCAGAGGGTGCAAAGCCCTATTCTAAAGCACTCACACTGCAGGTTCTGAGAGCGCGAGGCTTCACGTGTGAAAGCTCTAAGTTTTTGTGGGTCTAGCTCCAATTTTTTCTCTCCATCTAGGCCAAAACCTTGTATTTCGTGACCTGTGGAGTGAAGGACAGGTCTTCATTCACCTGTGTGAAGGCACTTTTGAGAGGGAATTCTAGCCTCTTTCCTGGTACATACTGCAGGGGTTTCAACCTCTTTTACCAACCAAATCTCATGATTTTTCTCCTTTGTGCCTTTGATGACCTAGCCTCATGATCACTTGTCACACAGGCCAACCCTGACTCAATTGTGGGAGAGGACTACACAAGGGTGTGAATACCAGGACGTGGGGATCCCTGGAGGCCATTTTGGACTCTATCATAACTCTCTTCCATTTTCATTTTGTAATTTTTCTCTGTCTATATAAGTCCTGCTTCAGTTTTCACCCATGTGGTGATGACTTTCAAAAGTCTATGTCCAGCCCGGACCTCTACATTGAACTTCAACCCGTACATTCAACTGTGTACGCCGACATCCCAACCAGAAGCCTCAAAGGTGCCTCAAATTCACGTTGTCTAAGATGGACCTAGTGATCTATCTTCTCTGCAAAATCAAATCCTCTTCCAGTGTTCTCCATACCTATGAATCCCTCCTTTCACTCAAGGCTGAACAATGGCATCATCCTTGAAGCTATTTTGTCCCTCTTTCACATTCAATTCATCACCGAGGCTTGTTGATTTTGTTCCTACATTTCTCTGCAGACTGCCCAGTTCTCTGCCTCTTCACCAGCACTTCAGTAAACGCCAGCTCCATCTTCTTTTCCCTAGACCACTGCACTGGCTTCCCAGCTGGGCCCACCACAACTTCATGAGCCTTCTCCATTTTGATCTTAACTTCAGCAGCCAAAGAGATTTTTACAAAATGCAAATTTCATCATTTTTCTACTATCCTAAACTTTCTACCATAGCTGCAAGATCCTACATGGTTTTACCTCTTCTAGTCTCTCTAGTGGCTCTCACTTTACTCCTTTACTCTCTAAACACTGAGTTTCTCTTCTTTCTTTCCTTTTTTTATGGCAAAATATACATAACATGAAATTTACCATTTTAACCATTTAAAAAATATATATTCAACTGTACACTTTATTTCATTTTTTTGTTTTTTTGTTTTTGTTTTTGTGAGGAAGATTGGCCCCAAGCTAACATCTGTTGCCAATCTTCCTCTTTTTGCTTGAGGAAGATTGTGGCTGAGCTCACATCTGTGCCAATCTTCCTCTCTTTTATGTGGGACACTGCCACAGCATGGTTTGACTAGCGGTGCTAGGTCCGGGCCTGGGAACCCAGGCCGCTGAAGTGGAGTGCTGGAACTTAACCACTATGCCACTACGCCCGGCCCCATTTTAAAATGTATAGTTCTGTGACAGTTAGGACATTTACATTGTTGTGCAACCATCACCACCATCCATTTGCACAACTTTTTCGTCTTCCCCAACTGAAATTCTGTGCCTATTAAACACTAACTCCCCATCCCCCTCTCTGAGCTTCTTTTCACCCCTCAAAGGAGACCCGCTGTCTTCTACATACAGTTCTTTATGCATACTGTTCTCTCTGTTCGAAAGACTCTTCT